GCTGGGGTACACCACATTTTCATTATCCACTCATCTGTTGATGAAGCTCCAGACTTTGATTCCATTTGGATTTCTGTCCTGGATCTTGCCTAAGACAGTTGAATATAGAATTAACATTAGAGCATGAAGATTATTAGAAATCAGGTGTTCTAGATCCTGTTTTTTTTATATAAGAGGAAAACAAGGCTAACAGCCCAGATTTCTTAAGATCACATTGAACCAGAAATGTACTTGTCTCCTTCCTCCTGCCACACCCACTATATTCCTTTCCTAGGACAACTTCAATGACATTTTACCATCTGAGAATAGCCAGTGGAATGGCCCTCTAATTGAGGCATCTTGTCCTTCACATCATAACTAGAATTATTTTGAGGATTTGCTTCCACAGTGGTCAGGGTGGCTGGGACAGACAGCCCCTCTCTGGGTACTCTGGAGTGAGAAGGAGTGTCTGGCAGGAAGGTAACCAATTCTTTAGCTTAGCACTATATCGTGTACAGATTCATCAGGGCATTTGTTATGGTTTAGGTTGAAAATGTTTCCCAGAGTCTTGTGTTTGGAGGTGGGGCCCAGTTAGAATGATGGACCACTGGGGTCATGACCCGGAAGGGTGCATTCTTGCCCCTGGCCTTCCCTCCCTCTCTTTGCCTCCTGTCCACCATGATATGAGCTGCTTTCCTCTGCCAGGCCCTTCTACCATGCCATTTCTGCCTTGGAGCTGGCCAGCCATGAGTGGCACCCACTGAAACTGTGAGCCAAAATGAACCTTTAAATTGCAGGCACTGAGTATTTTGTCTGAGCAATGGTAAAGGGACTAACACAGATTTTGATACCAGAGAAATTGGGCTGTTGCTGTGATTGTACGTGAGCAGGTGGCTTAGAAGCCTTTGGAGCTGGCCTGTGGGAGGGATTTGGAAAGGTCTGAAGATGCTGGATAGAGAAGTCTTAGAATGCTACAAGCAGAGCCTGAAGAGAGATTCTGATCAGGTCTCGGAAAGCATGCTGAAAGGAATGTGGACAGTAAAGGCCATGATAATGAAGTTTCACTTGGAAATGAGGATTCTTCAGAACTGGACTAGAGAATCTGCATGTTACATTTTGCCAAGGAACTTGTCTACATTTTGCCCATGCCCTAACATTTTGTGTGAGGCTAAATTTAAAAATGATGGACCAATTAATCTAGTGCAGGGAATTTCAAGGCAGATAATATTCCGGATGGGGCATAGGTATTGCTGGCTGCTTTTAGCTACATCTCCAGAGAAAATCAGGAGCAAAATGCTGAGTTGGATGACTTGAAAAGCTTGCAGTTTGGCCTGGAAGAAAGAGCCTGTAAAGTTGAGGCCATGGAGAGCAGGAATGCTGAAAAGATTAGCATTAAAAAGAACATAGGGTTTTTTTTTTTTTTTTTTTTTTTTTTTGCCTCAGGACAATAGGAAAGATGGTTTCAAGGCATTCCCGGGAATCAGCAAGACCCTATTCATCACAGGCTCAAAGGTGAAAAAGTATAAGCCTTTCATTTGAGAAAAATTCCCTGGGGATTTAGCTCAGTGGCACAGTGCCTGCCTGGCAAGCACAAAGTCGTGAGTTCGGTTCCCGGTACGGGAAAAAAAGCCCCTGGGAGGACAGCCTAAGAAAACCTGTTCTCTGGGATTCATTTCACTGTGCTTAGTCACCCCGGTAGTCAGTGGCCACTGCAGCCGTGGTGCAAAGAGTCCTGGCTACCACTCAAACTGGCAGCAGACCTTGGCACTATCCATGTGGTGCTGGCTTTTCAGACATACAGAAGACAAGGGTTGTTGGGTCAGGGAGACTGCTATCCAGCTTTCAAAGGATGGCCCAAGAGGCCAGGCAGTGTGTCCCCAAGAGGGAAGTTTGTGAAGCTGTGAGTTGAAGCTGAAAGTACAGCGAAGACTCAGGAGGTTGAAGATGCCAGGAACAGGGGATGTCTGTTGAGGAAAGCCATAGGCAGTAAGAGGAGCCAGCCCAAAAGAGAGGCCATGTGGGCTGCAAGGCCACAGGGGCAGGACCACCTAAAGCTTTTGGAGCTCACATCTCACCACAGCCTGCTCTGGGGCTAGATTACAGGGTTTAATGTTTGCCCTGCTGAATTTTGGTCCTGCTTTTGTCCAATTTCTGTCTATCCCTTTATTCCCCTCTTTTGGAATGGGAATGTTTACCTTGTGCCATTGCATGTGGAAGTATTTAACTCCCTTTTTGATTTTTACAGGTGCTCACAGCTAAGAGTTTGCCTTAATTGTAAGAAGTCTTTGGACTTGGACTTTTCAGCAATGCTGGAGCTGTTAGACTTTGGCAACTTTTAGAGGTAGACTAAATATACCTTACAAAATGAGATGGACATGTCCCTTTGGGGGGGAAGGGGTGGGATGTTATGATTTAGATCTAAAATGTCCCCCCAGAAGTTTTGTTTTCAAAGGCAAGCCTTGGTCAGAGGGAGCAAGTTATTGGGGTCATGATCTAGAAGAGTGTATTCTTGTCACTGGCCACTGATCACTGGTCACTGGTCTGGATCTTTCTCTCTCTCTTTCTCTCCCTCCCTCCCTCCTTCTCTCCTTCCCTCTCCTACTCTTTACATCTGTGCAACTGATTACTTCATCCTCTTTCACAGACAAGGAAGCTGAGGTGAAGGACACTGTTCTACTCACACAGCCAGGGAGTGGCAGAGAAAGGATTTGAATCCAAGTCTTCCCTTTGGAATCAAAGTCTATGTTTAGAGGTTACTAAACTAGAGATGTAATCTTAACAGCTCCATAAAGGGACCTGAGGTGGATCCAAAGGCAGAGCAGTATCTTCAGTGTAGGTATGTACAGCCTTAGGCAAAGCCACTTTACTATTTTCTGCCTCAGTTTTTCCATATGTAGTCACAATGTCTATCAAACTCATATGTTTGTTATACTCAAATGAAACAATATTTTCATAACAACAACACTGGCTACTCTTTAAGAGCACTTACTGGGTAGCGGGCATGATGTCTGAAGACTCACGAGCTTTAACTTTCTAATTCTCATCCTCCAAGATAGGTGATGTGGTTTATCTGGGTGAGCTCGGGGCCTCAGTTGCTTCATCAGTACAGTGGGGATGAGGATGTAACTTCCTCATGGGATCGTTTGAGTGTTAAACAAGTTAACGTATGGATGGGATTAGAGCAGAGCCAGTCATACAGTAAGTACTATAGCAGCTTACTATACAGTAAGTGTCATGGCACCATGGATATCTTGTATCTAGGGAAACAGAGGCTCAGAGAAATGAATGACTTGTATAAGACCAAATAGCTAAGAAGTAACCAGCTGCAGGATCTGAAATCTGTGTTTCATAACTTTAATGCATGCTCTTTCTTCTCCCTATTCAAAAGGTTCCACTAACTTGGGTCCCTCATCCTGCTCCAGGTATCAGGGTGGGTTACCCCAGCTTTAGTGAACTTGGCTCATCCCATCTTTGTCCACAGATGTGCTGCACCCATCCCCCTCACTTCAAAAGCCACAAGAACAAACTGCAGAGCTGGAGAAATAAATAAAAAATTAGTTTCGTGTTTTCAGAGTCCAGAGGGGGTGGCGGGCATTGAATTATTCAGGCTGTTTGGGTGTGAACTGTTAGTTTTCTACCGCTCTTGCCTTGATGGCTCCTCTGACACATTGATGGATGAGCCAGTAAAACACTTGGAGGCCAGGAAGAAAATTCTTAATCATAACTCGCTGGGGAGAGTGAGGGTTTTTCTGCACTGGCAGCTTCAGAGGCTCAGCCTGGCTCCAGCCCTCCCTCACCTTCCCTGCCTCAGTGGGGCTGGAGATACCAACTGCAGAGTTGTCCTCAGCCCCAAAAGGGGGGTTTGAAGCAGGACTTTGAAGAATGGAGCTGTTTGTTCATTTTGCTTTATGTTTTAATGTTTAAAAATTAAAATGTAATTTACATGAAAGGCACAGAATCACAAATGTACCACTCAATGAATTTTTGCATTTATGAATACAATATTGTGTAACTACTCCTTAAATCAAAGTATAAAGATTTCTATCTTCTAGAAGGTCACTTTATGTTTCTTTTCAGTCAACAACTATCCTGGTCTCTAAAATTAATCACCATTGCCTACTTATGTCTAGTCAAGAGTTTCATATAAGTGGAATCATATAGGTCAGTGCTTTCAATGATAACAAACAGCTAGCTGCAACGTGTATGCATCTATCAATTTATCTATCTATCTATCTATCTATGTATGCATGAATGACACCACTTCCTGTTCCAGAGGATTGATTCTTGGGCATGGTTCACAATGCTTCTTAGAAAAACCCCAGTGGGATAGAATTCCAGTTTCCCATAATAGTAAACTACTTATCAACACAGTATTAATCTGTTTTTTCTTATCTTATGGAGAAAAACAATTTCATAACAAGATAATAGGAGAATAATGATAGTTAATACAGTGTATATTGTTATCTTTAAAGTAGTTACTCAGAGTACAAGATATGGGCATAAATTCTCTAGTCAATATTAGCACAAACCTTCCTTTTCTATGAACTAAGAGACACTAATAGTGTAACTTACACTTTTTCTCCCTTTTCCCTTCTTTCTTTTCCCCTTTCCCCCATCCTAGTTTCTTTTTCCTTTTAAATAATTTCTTCCCATTTCACAATATCTATTGTACATTGTAAACATTTTTTACCCTTTCAATTTCTCACACCAGAGAGAATATACGATGTTTACACATGTAAGTCTGATTTATTTCACTTATGATTATGGTCTCAAATTGTATCCATTTACCTATAAAAGTCTCAAGTTTATCCTTCTTTATGGCTGAGCAGTACTCCATTGTATAAAAATACCACATCTTTTTTACCTATTCTTCAGTTAATAGTTATTTGGGTTGCTTCTGAGTTTTAGCTATTACAAATTGTGCTGCTATAAACATGGGTGAACATATATTGCTGTGGTACAGTGTTTTTAATTCTTCTGGGAAGATACCCAGAAGGGGAATAGCTGGGTTGAATGGGACCTCTACTTCTAGCTTTTTGAGGACTCTCCATACTGATTTCCACAGTGGCTGCAACAGTCTGCAGTCCCACCAACAGTGGAGAAGAGTTTCTTTTTCCCCACTAGCATTTATTATTGATTGATTTCTTGATGATAGCCATTCTTTCTGGAGTGAAATGGAATCTCAGAGTTGTTTTACTTTGCATCCCTTGAATGACAAATGATGTTGAACATTTTTTCATATATTTATTTGCCATTTGTATTTCTTCATCTGAGAAGTGTGTATTCATCTTAGATACCAATTTTTGGATTGGGTCTTTGAATTTGGGAGGTTTGAGTTTTTTCAATTCTTTCTATGTTCTAGATATAAGTCCTTTGCCTGAGGACTAAAATTGGCTAAAATTTTTTCCCACTCTGTGTATTGTCTTTTCACTCTATTGATGGTTTCTTTTGATATGCAAAAGCTTTTTAATGAGATGAAATACCAGTTGTTGATTCTTTGAAGTATTTCCTGTGTAATTTGGATTTTGTTCATGAACTCTCTACCTACACCTATGTCTTCAAGATTTCTACCTACTTTCTCTTCCAGTAAATTTAGTGTTTCTGTTTTAATATTTAGATCATTAATCCATTTTGACTTTAGTTTAGTGCGTGGTGATAGACATTGGTCTAATTTTAGTCTTCAGCATAAAGAGCCAGTTTTTCCAGCACTATTTATTAAAGAGGCTATGTTTCTTCCAGTAAACATGTTTGGCTCCTTTGTCAAAGATAAGGTGGCTGAGTGTGTTTGTAGTTGTGTCTGCATATTCTAATCTGTTCCACTGATCCTCAGGTCTGGTTTTTTTTTTTTTTTCTTTCAGTACTGTGCTTATTTTATCACAGTAGATTTGTAGTGTAATTTCAGGTAAGGGACTGTGAGGCCTCCACCTTGCCTTTATTCCTAGAATTGCTTTTACTATTCTAGGTTTCTTCTGGTTCCAGATGAATTTTAGGAATAATTTCTCTAGTTCTGTGAGGTATGCTAATGGTATTTTGATCAGGATTGCATTAAATCTATATAACAATTTTGGTAGTACAGCCATTTTCACAATATTCATTCTTCTTATCCTTGAGCAAGGGATTTCTTTCCATTTTCTGATGTCCTCTTCATCTCTTTTTCAGAGTACTGTAATTTTCAATGTAAAAATCTTTTAATTCCTACATTATATTGATTCTTAGGTATTTCATTTTTAGGACGTTGTTGTGAAAGATGTTGTTCCCCTAATTTCTCTCTCAGTGAGTTTGTTGTTTGTATATAGGAATATTATTGTCTGTGTGTGTGTGTGTGTGTGTGTGTGTGTGTGTGTGTGTGTGTTTGAGACAGTGTCTCCCTATGCAGTTCAGGCTGGCCTTGAGCTCACTTTGTAGCCCAGGCTGGCCTCAAACTCACAAAGATCCTCCTGCCTGAGCCCCTGAATGCTGGGATTTCAGGCACACACCACCATACCTGGCTAGAAACGCTACTGATTTTTGAGTGTTGACTTTGTATCCAGTTACACTACTGAATTTGGTTATTAAATCTAGAAGTCTCTTGGTGGAATTTTTGGGGTCTTCATGTAGAGTATCATGTCATCTGCAAATAATGATAATTTAACTTATTTTCCTATCCTTATTCTTTTTATTTTTCTGTCTTGTCTAATTGCTCTGGCTAATGTTTCCAGGACTATATTGAATAGGTGTGGTGGTAGTGGACATCCTTGTTTTGTTCCTGATTTTAGAGTGAAAGCTTTCAGCTTTTGTCCATTTAGCATCATGTTGGTTGTTGGCTTGCCATGGATGGCTTTTATCAGATTGAGGCAAAGACTATCTATTCCAATTTTTGGTAGGGTGTTTACCGTGAACGAGTGTTGGACTTTGTCAAAAGCTTTTTCTGCATCTATTGATAATGTCTTTCATTGTTATAACAAAATATTTGAGGCTGAGTACTCTATAAAGAAAAGAAGTTGGTTTAGCTCAGAGTTTTGGAGGCTTAAAGTCCAGATTGTACAGTGCTTGCTCTGGTGAGTACCCCTTTGGCTACATCACATCATAGTGGGTAGCACTGTGATGGGAGAGCATGTGAGAGGAAAGATCAGATGATGAGACAGGAAGCCGGGGCATGGGAGGGTCAGGTGTGCCCTTTTATGAAAGCCCATTATTAGCTGGGTGCATTGGTATAGGCCTGTAATTCCAGGGCTCTACCCAGGCACAGGCAGGAGGATTGCAAGTGCAAGCCCAGCCTGGCCAAATTAGCATCTTAGCTAGACCCTGTCTTAAAAATGGAAAAAAATTTTTAAAAGGGCTGGAACTATAGCTCTGAACCACCCTAAAAAGTCTCACTCTTGTGGGAACTCAGGTCCTAGGAGAACAATCTTAATTCTCTTTCCTTTTCCCTCCTTCCTTCTTTCTTGCCATCCCTTCCTCCTTTTCTTTGTACCCTTACGCTGTGTTATGGTGCAGCAGAAGGCCTTTGCCAAGTGTTGACACCTTGAACTTGGACTTCTCATGTTCTAGAACTGTAAGAAATAAAGTTCTGTTTATTATAAAATACTTAGCCTGTGCCATTCTGTTATAGCAACACAAAGCTCACTAAGACATTGCCCAAGTCAGAGAAGGAAAGGAACAATACTCTGCCTCCTGCCTTTTCTGCACCTCCGATCCCATCTGGTGAACCCAGACAGAACTGGGCTGACCCAGGAGCCTGGAGCATAAAACCTGCAGGATCAAGACCCCTGTGATACAGAGCCAAGCCAGGGAAGGGCAAGACATGGCCGTGCCGGCAAACAGGGCCTGACGTGGTAGGAAGCAAGTGTGCAGGGGTCCTTCCCATGTGCCCCAATGAGCTACTTTCACTTCCAACTGGGCACCCAAGACTAGGTTTCCAGGCTGGACCCAAGGATCACTCTCTCACTTCTTCCCCAAGTCCCTGTGAGAAGTCTCTGCCCCAGTCACTTGGACTCCTGATTATAAAAGCTGTCACTTTATGCCTGGGCACAGGGCAAGGCTCTGTGTATGTTCTTCCATTTCATATAAATGGAAGGTCAGTGGACCACACTGACCTTTTGTCTTCCCATGATACGTATCTGTTATCTGCAAGCTTAAAACCTGCTTGAGTGGAAAATAGCAAGTGAAGTGCCAAGCCAAAAGACACCTTCCTCCTCAGCAGGAAGGTGTTGCTAGGAGCCAGTGCCAGGATACCTGGGTGCTCGTGTTGGCTTGGCCCACCATGACAGATGGAATTTACAGACCTGGATTTCCTGAAAGGGAACAGTCAGACCCAGGAAAAGGAAGTCCAGATTGGGTCCTGCATGCTCAACCCAACCCATCCCATTTACTAATGGCCAAGTGGCCTTGGGAAAATTATCCTCACTCTAGTGTCTGCTTTGCCATCTGTAAAATGAGATGATGATACTCTTTCCTTTTTCCATGGCATATTGAATGGGTTTGTGTCCAAAGTACTCACAGATCTTATTAATAGGATGAAGGTGATGAGCCTGACTCTTGCTCCTACATATTCTCTTAATCAGAAGATGTAACATTGTGAGGAGGTATACCAGAAAGCCCAGTGTGTTCTAGCACAGTTGCATGGTGGGAAAACTGCAACAGAGTACCCAGGGATCCCTACATCCGGGTATTCGGTATTTGCATCATG